AAGCCTTGGACTTCTTTAATGGGTAACAAAACAGTGATTAGTCTAGGAAATCAGGTTTCAGAATTAATTACGCAATTTAAATAACCATATGTTATAAGGGTAAGTAAAATTTATTGAGTGAGTGATGGAAATGATATATGCAAAAGAAGTAGTAGAACTACAGGTCTTTGCTCATTCCTTGGGATCTGAACTAATTAGAAACCTTACAGTAATACAATAATATGATTTCAGTAAATGTGAACCATTGGTTTGAGAAAGTAATTGAATCACTCATTTGTATGCCCTGACTGATTTCCTTGACAGATAATGGCTAACCTACCCCTGTGAGTTACCTCCTTTAAAATTCCAAGAGCTACAAGGCTAAGCAGTTTCTTAATATAATCAACAGCTTCCAGGTTGAAAATTAACCAAGGTCACAAGAAGACTCATAAGGAGGAACAAGGTCAGCACATTTGTTCCGGGCCAGAGGATCAGAGGAACTGGAGGACAGAGAACAGGAGGCGTGCTAAAAGTCTAACTTTTCAAAACTGCCTTTCCAGAAATGAGTTTGACAAGATATATTACTATATCCTCAGAGACAGGTCAAAGACTTGTTTTTACCTTGGGCCTGATCATAAAATTACGATTTAGAAGAAATTCATTATCTGTATTGAGCAAATTGAGATTATAACTTGCACAAAATTCCAGTTCATTATAGTTGCTGCTCTAGGAATTATAAAATGTAAAACCATGTCTTTAAAAGGGAAATTTTTAGAGTGTAAGATCCGAACACTCAATGATGTGTTAGCAAACAATGCTGTTTATGAAGAATTTGAAGAATTTTTAACTCTACTATTACTTGATGGTGATACATCTCTGACTCCATACAGTAAAACAGGTATGCATGAGTGCTTGCATTGTGAATTATTAACATTGGAACAGAGGATAAAGTCCCAGAGCTATCATCCCTAAGAAGATCTACAGTTAAGGAGATACTCAGAAAGCACCCCTGTCATAGACTAATCTTTACAAGGCAAAGGCTGTAACTCTTGTCAGTCAATTTAATAACAACCGTAATTCAAAAAGATGCAAAGCTGTGGTCACTCACCTAAAGTAAAAAGGGGAAAAATCAGCATAAAAGCTTGGCAGATAGAACGTCAGCTTACAACATAATGCTACTTACATATTTTATTTTGCTGGTTTTATTTTAACAAAATATTCACAAGTGGGCTCTGAGCAAGAAAATGAATCTTTAGAATCATACAAATGATGTTCTAGTAATTTTAGGTGGAAAATTATAAAGAGAAAAGAATAACCAGGGTTTCAATTCATTTTACTGGAACCAAAGCCTTTAAGATTTTTTTTTTCACATTTTTTTTTCCTCTTCCTCTAGGTAATCTATCTCAAAACACAGCACTTAAACAAACTTTTGTATGTACCTGGCTAATGAATCTATGACTGCCCTGAAGTTCAAAATGGCAAGGCTATGGGCAGATGGTGAGGCACGGTGGGTCAAACCACGCAGTGAGATGCTTGCATTCCATGCTGCAGGGCTTGCTTCAATTCCCCATTCCTCTGCACGTGGGAGGAAGAAGATTACAGTGCTTGAGTCCTGATAACTGCCCTGGGAAAATCAGGTGGCTTGGTGGGTCCCTGGCTTTGGCCTGACCCAGGCCCAACAGTGCAGAAGCAAATCAATAAACCGCATCTCTCTCTCTCCATATCTGTCCGTCTTTTCCTCTCTCTTTGCGTGTATGTGTGTCACTCTGTCATTCAAAAAACTAATTAAAAAAAAAATCCACATTGATAACTTAAAACAAATTTCAAAATTATTATGCAAAAACTTCACCATCTTGGTTTCAACCTTCTTTTTTATAACTTTATTGGGATATAAACGACAAACAATACACTGTATATATTGAAAGTGTGACATTTTATAAAGTCTGACATTTCTGTGCCCATGACACAATCACCACCATGAAGGTGCAAAGGTCACCATCACCTGATGGTTTCTGAATTCATCAAGTCTCATGTGCACTCAGAACCCTCCTCTCCAAGTCACTGCAGAAGGGCTTGTCACAGGCTAGTCTGCATTCTCTGGAATCCCAGCTGTAAGGGCCAGCACAGAGCACTTCTATGCAATCTCATTCGTCTGGCTTCTTTCACTCAGCATAGCTACTGTGAGATTCATATATGTCAACATGAAAATCAACAGGGACACGAAATTTACTCGTACATTGTCTAGTACTGTACATGGTCATATCACTATATATTCATCCATTCATCCCTGGAAGGGCATCTGAGCTGTTTCTAGTTTGGTTATTTCCTAAAAAAGCATTCTGGGAATATTCACATATGAGCTTTTATATTTTCTTTCTCGTGGACAGCTATACAAGGGTTCATCGTTGGGTTGTGTAAGGAGCCATAGACATATGGACCTTAGACTTGGCCTACCTGACAGCCTGTTGCATTGTAAAGCCTGCCTTGGGCAAGCAGGGCCACAGCAAGCAGGATACTAGGCTAGAACATCCTGTGATTAGTTCCTCCCTTGTTTCAATATAGATGATTAGTTCCCTCCCTGTTTCAATGAAGATAATTACTTTCAGGAAACCCCTCCCCTTCCCCTCCTCCCTAGAGAAGAAGGTATAGAGGCACTCTTTTCCACCAAGTATGTGTGTCTGTGTGTTTCTTGGGCTAGCAGCCCAGCATTCCCAGGCCACCTTCAGGGTATGAGCGTCCTGTCCTGCAGGTCGGGACTGGGTTGTAAGTGAGATGTATATTTAGCTTTTTAAGAAACTGCCAAGTTATTTTAGAAACTGCTTTGACAATGTTATGCTTGCACTATCAGAGTATTAGCGTTCTAGCTGATATGCATATCTACCAGTACTGGTAACCTGAACGTATGGGCCAGTCTTTTCAATTTTGACAATTTTAGCTTGTGTGTCATATTTCAGTGGTTTAGTTTTCATTCCAAATGACTAATGATGGCACCAGTGTTTCAATGGCTCTATAAACTACATAAACTCTTGTCTTCAAACTTTTTTGTTTATTACTGGCAGTGTTTCAGATGACAAAAACAATCCATTTGGTACACTGTTTTATGAGTTTTGTCTAATTTACAGTTATGTAACCACAACCATGATCAAAGCAAGGAATGGCCCTCATCCTTCCCCCCCAGCAACTCCTTCGCACTGTCTCTGTAGAAAAAGCTTCTCATTAAGCTGTAGCGTGCCAGTCACAGGCCTGGAATTTGTTCTCACAGTTTCACTTTTTGTTGTTTGTTTTATAATAAGTGTCATTTACATGGAATCATAATAGATAACCTTTCAGAATGGCATCTTTTACTTCCCATGATGCATTTGGGAGTTGCCCATAGTGTTGTATGTATGAAGTTTCCATTCCTTTTTAAAGATTTTTTTTTTTTTACTGGAAAGGCAGATATACAGAGAGGAGAGACAGAGAGGAAGATCTTCCGTCCAATGATTCACTCCCCAAGTGAGCACAATGGCCAGAGCTATGCCGATCCGAAGCCAGGAGCCTCTTCTGGGTATCCCACATGGGTGCAGGGTCCCAAAGCCTTGTGCCGTCCCCGACTGCTTTCCCAGGCCACAGGCAGGGAGCTGGATGGTAAGTGGAGCTGCCGGGACTAGAACTGGCACCCATATGGGATCCTGGGCGTGCAAGGCGAGGACCTTAACCACTGCGCCATCGTGCCAGGTCCCATTCCTTCTTCTTATTTACTAAATAATATTCCATCCTATGGTTATGCCAGATTTTGTTTCTATAATAACTATTAGAAGAATATTTGTTTCCTTTCCAGCTTTTTTCAATTATTCATAATGCTGCTACACAAAGTCCTGTATAGGTTTGTATAAAACAAAATGTTTCCATTTATCTTGAGTAATCATTGAGGAGTAAGATGGTTAGGTTTCATGCTTATGATGTATTTAATTTTATAAGAAAATGCCAAAATATTTCAGAAGAGAGAAGCTGCTGCAAGCCCAGATGCCCCACATGCTTGCCAAAGCTGGAGTTGTAGATTTATTTAACAGGCTAATAGTAGCTTCAACTTGCATTTCCATATTAACTAATAAAGTAACTATTTCCCTGTGCTTATTTGCCACATTTAAATCTTATATGTATCTGATGTAGACAAAAGGATAAGGTTAACTGAAAGGTTAGTCTTTTTCTAAAGATTACTAAAAAGTTGAGTATGTATGTCAAACCTGAAATTCCATCTATTCTTAAAGTTAAATCAAAATCAATTATATATTAAAATACAAAAATCTCCAGCTGCAAAATTCCTATTTTAAACTATTTGTGTCCACAAGCTTAGTCACTATTTCTTAGATATAAATGCAAATCAGAAATGAATACAGTGATGAACTATGCTTCATAAAAATTCAAAATTTCTGCCTCCCAAAGATGTTAGAGGGACAGAGGACAAATCAAATACAGAAAATAAATATTTGCAAAGCATCTGTATATTAAACAATTTGTGTACAACGTATTTCATGAACTCTAAAATTTTAATAATACAAAAATTTCTAAAACATATTTGAATGCTTCAGTGAAGAAGATATATATAGCATACTGTGTAAAAATATGAAAAATATTTTTTAAAGAATTAATATGGGTGGGAACCATAATAAGTACATATCTAGTGTTGATACAACTGTGGAACAAATGTAACTTTCACACTTCTTTCCATGGAGCACATGAAATGACATGATCAATTTTGAAAACTGTTGACCAAATGCAATGCAAGCATGCTATACTTCAGTCCTTGAATGCTGGTGTCGCTGTTCGTAATACAAAAATGAAAACACCCCAAAGTCCGTCTATAGGTGGATGGATAAACCCAGTATTATTCCAGAGAAAGTATTGAAGCATAAAATAGTCACTTTTCAAATGGCAGGAAAAACACTTAGAAATATGTATAACCTAATTTATGAGTAAGAATTAAATAGCATCAAGCATCAATTTTCCTTTATAATAAAAAATAAGATTCACCATCTTACCTATGTATTTATACCCCTCTTCCCCGTTTACTATGGGTCTCAGCCAGGTTGACCTCAGTCTGGTGTTGGTAAGCACTTGGGCACCTTTAGGGGGATAGAGTGTAAACAACATTTCCACTGCATTGGACTTTTTGATCATTCTAGAATACTTTTCTTGGCGACCTGATTTAAAAAAAAAAAAAAGAGAAAGAACATTTTGAAATTTTAAAGCTTAAGACATATTATATATTCTTTCATGTGCTTCATTTAAGAGATGTAAATTAAAAGCTACCAATCTACAAAGTTAAAAAACTGGGTTTTCTTTCTTTGTGGGTGGTGTTTGGGATACCAGTGTAAATATATATTTGGAGATGAATGGCCAAATGCGGCACACATATAATGTATTTCTCAAGGGAACACAAATATGCATAGTTTACATATTCATGAACGTTCGCAGCGTCATTTTCAGTAAAAATGAATAAATAAAAGGGAGAACATTCATATATAACCATAACTGAAAAAGTGAAATGAATAATATTCACATATTTATTCACATTTAAACAATGAAAACCTGCATAGCAGATTTGAATATGAATGAAACAGGAAAAAATATACCAAAACATCTGTACCTTATCAACATTGTTGTGCTTGGAAATGTATTACATGACATATATCATAGGTGCAATTTCTGTAAGGTTTTAACAACATACAAAATACAATCACAGTTTGCATATAAATGCATATATGTGAGTACTTCATGTGTTTTCATTAACCAAATTTACCTCCCTAAAAATCTGACCACTTAGATAATTGCTAGCAAAAGTTAATGCACAGTGTTCACACTATACCTATGCTTTTAGTTGTGTTAGCAAACTAAGACCCAGAAAAGCTGAATACCCCACCGAGACCTGACAATGTAAATGATGTACTTAGGACCCAGACACCTAAGGAAGCTCTTACACGCACACATTTTTGTCAACTGACCATGCCCTGCATTTTCTGATGAACATAAAACATGCATATATTCTCGCCAAATACAAACCAATGGATTCCAAGCCATTCACCCAGATGGTTCAACATACCCAAAGCAATAATTATGATACATCACATTAACAAACTGAAGAACAGCAACTATTTTTTGTATTCATCAGATACACCGAATGCATTTGATAAAATATAGCATCCTTTCATGATAAAAAAAAGAGGAAATTGTGTATAGAAGGATAATTTTTCAGTATAATCAAGGCAATGTATGAAATACCCACAGCCAGCATCATACTGACTGAGTGAGCATGGGAAAAGTTGGAGGCATTTCCACCAACATTGGGAACCAGGTGAGAATGCCCATACTCACTACTGCTGTTCAATATGACTCTGGAAATTTCAGCCAGAGACATCAGGCAAGAAAACAAAACCAAAGGATTACAAATTGGAAAAAAAAGTCAAGTTGTCCCTTGTTTGTAGAGAATATAATCCCATATACACAGAAAGAAGATTTCATAAAAGAGTTTGGTCTACATGTGTAGACGTATGAAAAAAGACCCTCACTTTACACCTTACACAAAAATTTAAATGGATCATGGATTTAAATTTAAGTGATGATACCATGGAATTATTAGAGTAAAACATTGGCTACAAAAATGGATGCAACTGGAAATCATCACAGACAGTAAAATAAGCCAGTCCAAAAAAATAAAAAGAGCAAGCCCACAAGTATCATGTTTTCTGTGGATTACGGTATTCAGCATAGAATATAAACAATGCATAGGAATGCTATAGAGATCTTGTTATATGACTTTTGCTTTTATACTCCTATGGAACTGCGGTTGTCCTACGTTTTACTTATTGAATGCAATGACTGGTAGTGAATTTGGCCTGGGACAATAGAGCACATTCAAAGTATGCCTCTGTGATGATTAACAAAAAAGAAAGGGAGGGGCAGGGAGAGGAAAGGAAAGAGAGGGAGGGAAAGGAATTTAACTAAAAATGCATAAGCAATAAAAGAAATCAAAGAATGATGAGAATCTTAATTATTCAGGATTTTTTTTTCAATTGTAACACTCTGCGCTTAATGCAAATGCCAGGATAGATAAAACATATTAAAAAGAAGATGTGCTTAATTATTAAGATCAGGGCTAGTCCTAAACTTACAAGAATGAGCCATGTGGCTAACAAGGTTGCACTAGTAGTTGCTACTGTTGGTTATTAAGTCAGCATGGTGGACTAAGTTATCAAAATCAATAATGAACAACAGCTTGCATTTCCAGTTAAAAATATTAGATAACTATATTTATCCCCAAGGTGAAAAAAAGCATCCTTGACAGCCTTCATACTTAACATAAAGACCAAAATGTAAAATGAACAGTCACAAGTAACAGAGACTTTCTGCATAGTACGCTGTAGTAAGTAAACTTTCCTCTCCTGGGCCATTGCCAGTTTCAAGGTTTTCAGTATGGGGTATCATACTGGTATTTGAACTGCTGGACAAGTAATATATAACCTACTGTAAGTGATCAATTCTTAAAGGCTATACATTTAATATCTTGTTACTGTGCAGTTAAAGCACTTCATGTTGCATTTATTTCCTTTGATTTGAAATAAGTGAATGTCATACACTTTTTGTCATGCCATTTTTATTGAAGCTTTTTCTGTTCATTAGTAAATTTAAAAAGGATGATACCAATTAATCAATACGAAAAAAATTATGCATGTCTTGAGCAAGGAAGAAGAAGCCAAAGCAGCTCCATTTTTAGATTAATGAAACTTTCTTACATATAACTTCTTTTAAGCAGAAATAAAAGGTTGTAAAGATTATTAATGGGGGGATACAGTAAGATTCCAAACCAACAGGTAGAAATATTTAAGAAGACAATTAAAGAATATGTTACTCAATGAAACAAAATAAAATCAAGGATCAATAATTTTATATAATAATTAATTAAAGGATTTGTTTCATGAAACAATAGAATGCTGATACAGCTTAAAGAAGAAAAAATTGTTAAGACTTGAATAAGAGTAACATATTAAGGACATGAGTTAGTAAAAATATTAGAGTAGCAAATACAAGGCAGCTATCACGGCTAAGATAACAGAGTTCCCCTGCCACCATGTAGGATACATGGACTGGTTCCAGGATCCTTTCTCGGCTCCTTGCCTACTTGCATAGCCAGAGCTACTATCTGAATATCTCTCTCTCCTCTCTTTCTCTTTCTCTGTCTCTCTTTCTCTCTTCCTCCCTGATTACCTCCCTTTTGCTCAAATAAGTTTTTTTTTAAAAAAATTGAATGCTGCCTTTCAGCATTGAACCATTTATTCATTTTTAGATAACACTTATCACACATAAATTTCTGAATATTTGTAGAAGGTCTGTAATGTGAAGTCTATTGATTAGGAAATTTATGATAAGCCCAAACTATTTCTTAAGTAAGATTCAATAAAAGAAAATTAATACATGACATAATTCACTTAGCAAACGTTTAATTACCTAACAATGATTTATTTAGAGATAATCAATATATAGGAATTTTTTTGGAAGTGACAATGAAAGCATTTTTCTTTCTCTCTCCCATGTAAAACCCATTTTGATCTATTATAAAAACATAATTGCATCTTTAAGGAAACATGAAAATTCCTACAACTTTGCAGGACATATTATAGAAATGAAGTAAAGACCTAAATAAGAGAGAATGACAGGAGTCAACCCATCTACATCTTGTGATGGTAAAGTTCTGAGCGTAATTCCTTCTTCAACCATTGTCCTCCTCCATCCATGGGCCTGTGAAACCCAGCAAGCTCAGGAATAGCCCATCTGCCCCCAAAAACGATGATGGCACAGACACAAGAGCTATGGACACTTCTCTCCGAAAGTAGAAAAACAGAATGAAGCAGCAAATTACTGATCCCAAGCAAATTCATAACCCATCCAGGCAAACTGCCTTAATTTTCAGTTCTTGAGAATAATCCTCTGCAGCTTCAGGTTGCCTTCTACATCATTCTTTGTGAAAAATAGCATGAACTGGCACTGAGTAATTTCAATCAGCAGTTTCTTGCCTGTGTTCATTTGGATGTCCACTAATCCTCTCTCATTTCATACTATTTCTATCCCTTTCAGTACAAACTAGCAATACTCTATAGGAATAAAAATCTTGAGGCTTCCCAACATATGTCATGTGGATTCACTTTAGTAAATAAGACACTTCTACAAATCTCTCCTGGCTAATCCCACCCCTATTTCTTGCTTCTGCTTAGCTGACTAAGGGAGCCTATAAGTGATGCATTCATTTTTCTTTAATAATCCATTTCAGCTAAATTTTCTGACTTAACTTTCATCTTTCTAATGAATCAGTTAGCTTCTGCCCAGTCATACTTGAAGCTTTCCTTCCACTGCTTCTGTGATGGCTATTTTGTGGGCTACTGCGATAGTGAATACTTTGGCATGTTTCACAATCTGGATGGATTGAATATTTCCCAAATCATCTGATTCTGGCTCCTTGTTTAACTTTTCTTCCCACACAATGATCGTTCCCCTGCATTTTATCATTAGCATCAAAAAGGAATGAGGCAGGATTTTCACCTGCTTACTTATAATTATCCCCAGTTATGTGTTTGAAGTTAGAAATTTTATTTCCCATCTAATGACAGGACAAAATTCCACTATCTAAGCCTCCTGCCATGGATGGTGTAACAGAGGATCTTCACTTTAGTTCCCAATAGTATATTCTTTAAACTCCTTCTAAGCGCTCAATGGCAGTCTCTTTAAGTTTCATAGTCCCTCTAATGGTCTATGATGCAGATCTTCTCTAAAATGAGTTAATTTTTTTCTACTATGCTCCTTACTTCTGGTTCCGAATTAGCAGTCATTAACATCCCTACTTGTATTAATCATCTACTCAATGCAAACCTATTTGCTTTGGAATGAGCCTCTCATCATCTTTCTCATTTGCACCCATTGCCCAACCATACATTTCTAGATAATCTGCATGAGATCATCTAGTATGAGATAATCTAGTATGTAGACACAACAGGTAAGAGATATACATTGAGAGATTTCTGGTAAATATCTGGCTTCCTCAATTGTAAGGGTTGCCAAGGCAAGTTCTAAATCTATAGGGTAGGAGAGTCTAGAACTCTTTAATACAGACTGAAGTTAATACACTGCAAAATTTCTTCTTTGTGGAAGCCTC